CTGTCTGTTTTGCGTGTCGTGCTTCCACGACATGCACGATGACGACGACGAGATGAAGAGACATCGGATCAAAGCTTACAAAGGGGGGGATTGATTGATTGATTTCTTGCCTTTATTTTGAATGAATGATGTGCTTTCCTTCTCTGATTCATGTGAATGGCTGGCTGAAGTATTCTAGGCTTTGCATGTGAAGAACTTGCCCTATTTGATGAAATTCAAATATTTATTTTTTTGCTTGTGTGACACTGGATTTCTGGACGGATCAGCAGTGAAAAAATATAATAAAGAATAAATTCAAAGCAATAAAAGAAAGACTAAATTTTTTTCTTTCATTTTCTTTTCGGTTGGACTCCGTCAATTCAAACATTTCCTTTCCTGTATGTGTTTCAGGTGCCCCCTGTTGCGGTGATGCTGGCGGCACAAGTGTGGGCAGTGACGAGTTCCGGTCCGTGTTGCCCTTGGCTGTGAGCGATTGGTCGTCTGTGTTCTGTTTGGATGAGCCCGGGCACATTGTACGTGGTGAGTTCGTGGTTGGCGCATTGCGTGTGTTGTGTTTCCCTCCCATTTAGTCAGTCAGTCAGTCTCTGCATGAACTCGTGTCGTGTTGCCGTGAATTCTGCAGCATGCGCCACGCGTGGAGTGGAGTGGAGTGGAGTGAGTGAGCGAGCAAGATAAGGGTTTTCTCGTCACTATGCGCTCGCCTGACATTGTTCGTTCATTCGTTGAGTCTCTTTTTGATTGGCCAGGTTGGCGTGGTCGTACGAGTCGGCAGTGGCAGAAGATGGCTGTCGTGGGCTGTCTCGTGCGACGCGTGCTCATGATGCCTGTACTGCCCCGCCGCGGGCTCGTGTCGCTGCACTGGAAGCTGGTGTCGGCGGCTGCCGGCAACCAGTCGTGTGTTGTTCGCCGGACGTTGGTCGGACTGCGGCCCCGATCCTCGCAGACTCCAGATCGGGACAGTGAAAGCGCGATGCTTGAAGGAGCAGGAGTAGGAGGAGGCCGAAGACGGCAAGGAGAAGGCCTGCTGCTCAGGGGCAGCCGATGGAAGTGGAAGCGCTACTGGACGGCCTTGTCTGTGCTAGTGGCCAACGTGCTTGGCTATTTGCTCTACTTGCAATTTGAGGACTCGTTCGTCGAAGAGGAGGATGAGGAAGAAGAGGAGACTGCGTTGACTGCTGTGCCCGTGGGATTTTGGGTGAGAATACCGCCCTGTGGAAATGAGGATGTTGTTGGTCTATGAGAGTCTCTTTGTCTGTCTGCATGTCTTCTGTCATTCAGCAAAAGTGCATGATGGCCTTACCCTGGCGGCATTTGTCTCGGGGCTGGGGCTACTTCCACTCGGTGGAGCTGCCCCCGTTTTTGCGGCCCGTGCTGATCGGCAGCTACGCGAAAATTACCGGCTGTGACCTGGACGAGGCGGCGGACTCGGACTACTCGCACTATCGCAACTAACCGCTGAAAAAGTTCGCCCGTGAGTTCGGCCCGACGGCTGGTCACCTACTCTGACGTCGTGACCACTCAACACCACCACAACCACTACTACAGATACAGAAAAAGCCCGCTTTCCGTTACAGTTCGGCGTTGAGTCATTTTGTGCCCCCCCCCCCTGGAAATGCAGGTGTCGCCTGCAGATGGCCGAGTCGTGGCATGCGGCAAGGTGTGCAAGGACAGGGTCGAGAATGTCAAGGGCATCCGCTATTCGATGGCCAAGTTCTTGGGCCCGCAAACCTGGGCCCTGTCTGGAGACGAACCAAAGGCAGCTGTACAAGAGGTCGGTGGTCAGGGAATGAGGGACTATGGCAACAAGTTGCTGCAAAGGGAACAAGAGGACGAGTTGTTTGAGTGCGTCATCTACCTGGCACCGGGCGACTATCACCGCTTTCATTCCCCTGCGCAATGGACAATTCACCACCGACGCCATTTCCCTGGTGCGTTTCATCTACCGTATTTCACTATGCTTCTTTTTTAATCTTCCCATGGTGTCAATCGCCCAGCGTTCAAACCAAACCACCCCCCACCCCCACGCTCAGTTTTTTTTTTCTTTATACAGTACTTGACTTTTGACGAGAGTGATGATCGTCACTAGACATTTTTTTTCTTTTCTTTCGTCTAGAATTTCTTTTACCATTTGTATACTTCCTGAATTTAGTGAACTTCCCATATTGAGTATTTCCTTACCCCTGTTGACTTGGGGAAAGGAAAGAAATCCAGATTTTACTGTTGAATTTTTCATTCTCGTAACAAATGAGTCTGCAGTAAGGTTTTACTTGAACTCGATCTGTATTCTTGTACTGTGTACGGTATACTGTACTTTACTTTATACTGTACATATGTATTTTTTGCCGGAACTACAACCCAACTTGAACCCTCAAATGAGTCTGCAGTAAGGTTTTACTTGAACTCAATCTGTATTCTTGTACTGTGTACGGTATACTGTACTTTACTTTATACTGTACATATGTATTTTTTGCCGGAACTACAACCCAACTTGAACCCATTACAGACCCAGCAATCCACAAGCCATTCCTTCTCGAAAATTGAATTATATATTTTTTTCTATCCTTCCCGCGTAACCGTGGAAAGTGCTGTACAGCAATAATTTCAACATCTGTCCGTCATTCTCCGTCAGGTGACTTGTTGAGTGTTCATCCGAAGGTGGCGTCGTGGTTCCCGAACCTGTTCGTTGTAAACGAACGGGCCGCGTATTATGGCAAGTGGCAACACGGATTCTTTGCTTTGGGTGTCGTGGGAGCCACGAATGTCAGCAGCATAAAAATTCCATTTGATTTGGTGAGTCCCGCGCTGTATGTTCTCGCACTCTACATGCCATACTACTGTAGAGGCTTTATAAGCCGCACAAGATATTATCGTTTGTAGTCGTTGATTATGCAGTAATGTGCAACTGTATCGTTCTCTACAAATGACTCGGTCTATTGGTTGATTATTGTATTATCTTGTGTGTATAAGGCATTGGAGACGAACCAGCGAAAATTCAAGCGCAACTCGTGGCTCGACTTGCGGTTCGAGTCGCCGGTGGAGCAGAGCAAAGGCTCCTACTTCGGCGAGTTCAACATGGGCTCGACACTGGTGCTCATTTTCGAAGCCCCGCGGGGCTAAAATTCAAGCGCAACTCGTGGCTCGACTTGCGGTTTGAGTCGCCGGTGGAGCAGAGCAAAGGCTCCTACTTCGGCGAGTTCAACATGGGCTCGACACTGGTGCTCATTTTTGAAGCCCCGCGGGGCTCGAGGTTCACGGTGTGCATGGGAGACAGGGTCCGAGTTGGCCAGCGTCTGTTTCAAGTGCCAGGCGAAACATGACTGACTGACTGACTGTCAGGCTCTCGGTTCACACACTGCAGCAAGATTCTCTGTGCCGTACTGTAGTGTAGTTGAAGATGCAGCACTGCACCATGCTGTTTGTTTCTTGCTTGTGCCCCACTTGATGCGTGGGTCGATGAAAAGTGCCTTCATTGTGAGAGATGCGCGTGTGATTTTACTTGCGCCGAGTCATGTGCATACTTTATTTAACGTCAAAAGTCTCAGGTTCGAAAAAACGTATACAGGCCGGACTACTTAGTTATTCGTGTTTTAAGAGGAGACGTCCTCCTTTGTTTACTGTTTTGGTTGGCAGGTTGTTTGTTTGTGAGCAACTAAATCGCTGGGACTGATTCCGGCCATCATACGAAGCCAACAAGCGGAACACAATACAGTAATGTATAAATAAAAAAACAACAACATGTTTTCAACAAAGCATTCGACAAATAAATAGATCATGCATCTGGTAACAAATTTCTGAGCACGGTTCTGCTTCGAGCCTCACAATTTTTTCCTCTTCATTTTGCAGCGAGATTCCTGTCTTGTTTCTTAAAGAGCACCAAAATAAACAACAACAACAACAAACACCAGCGAAACACTGTGAACTAAAAACTTTTTGATTTCAAATATCGTTTCATTCTTTTTCTTTGATCAATATTTGTATATATATACGCTTGATGAAATTCCTTTTTTTTTATGCTGAAGCAATGGTGCAAGATGGAGATGAGAAAGGCTGAAAAGGGCTGTCATATGAAGAGATGAAGAAGCCATCATGCACAGTACGCGGAAAAAGCATGTTCATGGGCGTAATCCTGCGGGTTTTCAGAAGGAAGCGTTCATTTTGCTTTGCATCATCAATTCAAGCGCTGTTTCGTAAGTGGACTATGCATTAAATTTGAAAGCCCTGGGAAGAGAGGAAGTTTTCCTTAGCTTGTACGATGAGTCAACGCGTGGGGATAGCAACCGTCGGAAAACGGTTTCAATCTTTCTGCGTCAGAAGAAAGCCACGCTCGTGTATAACAGTACAGAATATTAGTGAAGCGTAGTAATACAGTACTGTACAGCACTCTGACGGAGGGAGACTATGGTGTGTTATCATGAATTGTACAGTAATGTATATATAGTGCATCAGAGGGGAAAGGAGGAGGAGGCGGAGCTGAAATTGGGCGTCATTTCTGCCAATAAGTCTGATGAGTTGGTCCATGAGTGGATTGGTTGTTCAGCATGAGACACTGCAACAAGTTGATCCGTTTCGATGCATGACGGCGTGCAACAGCACTATACACTGGACATATAGAACCAGCGTATAATAACGTAACCTCGTGATCCTCCGGGCGGTTTGTCGAGTGAGTACAGTGATCCGCACGCTGATACAGATTCGATTTGTCCATTCAATCAATGCAGTAATAAGCGGGTACGTTTCGCGGATAATTCACGCAGTGAGTGCTGGGTATATGTCTTCTGCTGTTCATGCATCATCCACAGCTGGAGCTAACGGCAGTTTCTTCTTTTATTGTTCCGTCCTGTTGATAAAGTACGTGGAAGTATCAAAATTCAGAGGTGCCATAACACAATAATATTTGGGCCAGCATGCATCAAAGCAATCAATGTTCAGTACTGTACTGTATTGTATAATGCATATATAGACTGTATACATCAATGGAGTATAGCGTGGACTCTCTCTCGCTAAACAAAATAACTCTTGCTTATTATTGGCACTTGAACAAAAAATCATCGTAGAGAAACAGCAATATGGTTGAATGCAGTATATTATTATTATATGTAGAGAATATTGGTGTATGCTGCACAGCAAAAGAGAGTCCACCTTGATCGACCTCGCATCATGCAGATACATCAGTACAGAGTATACTAATGTAATTTACTTAAGTAAAAAAGTGGGGGGAAAAGAAGATCGACTCACGTTGAGCAAAGATCAGGGGTGATGGTGGGAGAATAAATCCTGGTGCTGTATACATGTACTTGCTTTGCACGCATCACAGCATGAGTATATAGGACACAGCCGCACACGCACAAGGGCCGGCATGCAAGAATAAGACGTATATACTGTACCCAGCAAGTTGAATGTACAGACAGTAAAGTGTGTGTACTGATGCCGATGTCTTGTGTACGGTATACAGGCTGTGCAGCTGCATGCTGCTTCCTCTATATTGTAGGTATATATACACAGTTTATGCTGCTTCTCACTGACGATGTATACGCTTCTGATGCATGGCTAGCTTGTTCGGTACAATAAGCTAGCCAGCAACGATGACGATGATGACCCATCACTGCTGCTTCTGCTGGTGGTCCATCCCTGCCGTGCTGATGATAGTCGACTTGTCGTCGTCAACCTCGACAAAGCGGGCAAGAGGACAAGGAGGTCATCATCCTTACTTATTGCTGCTCCTCCCGTTACTTTTTCTAATAATGAGTCCGTATCATCGCTGTGACGCGCAATTAGGCGGGCTGCAGCTTGAAGCAATGACGACGACGACGACGAAGACGGGCTGCACTGATGATGGAGCAGCAACGCACCTGGGGTTGTGCACGGGTCATCATCTGCATCATTTCCAGCAGCAGCAGCCGCACCACCACCGCCACCACCACCATCATCATCATCATCATGATCGGCGCTGCTACTGATGCTGCATGGATGAGTGATGACAAAAAGAAGAGTGAGAATCGTCGCATATTTGATTATTACGACATGTGTGTTTATATGTGCGTCTTACATTCAGTACAGTACTGTACACAGCCGCACTTCTTGTCTATACGCAGCAGTACAAGAATTGGTGGTTTAATAATTATTCAGCTCACGTACCTGTTGATGGGCTCCACTGCTGCACCACCACGACCCGCATCTGATGCTGGCCCCACCATCATGTGTCTTCCCAGCAGCCACGTGCCCTGCCAGCCATTGCCCAGCAGCCGCGGCAGAGAAGAAGAAGGCTGCTGACTCGGTGTATTCTTGTGGTTGTCTTTGTCTTCTCCTTCTCCCTCATCCTCCTCGTCCCGCGGCCTGATCATGTGCTCCGAATAAGAAGCAGCAGCAGACCGCTTGAGCCTCCGCATGCCCCACAGGCTGTCCAGGTAGCTGTGCACGTCCCGCAGGTGGTAGTCGACGTCCAACACGTTGGAGAGGGCAGACTCGGCCCGGTCCCTCCACGTCGTCTGCCACTCCGGCCCTGCTGCGAAGGTGGGCCGCAGCTGGACCAGACTCGGCATGTAGTCCAAGATGGTGTTTGTTCTCGGCCCATCGTCCTTGATGTCTTTAACATCATTACTCTCATCAATAACACCAGGGGATGGCGAGGGTTTTTCTCGTCGTTGTTGTTGTTGTTGTTGTTGTCGTTGTTGGTGATGGACTTGATGATGATGATCAAACAACGACGATGCACCCGCTGCTGTTGATGCGGCATCACCACCAGCTACCAATGCCCGACCATAGCTCGTCATCTCGGGCCACATCAATACAGCAGAGTCCTGATGTTCTGCTGCAATAATACCAGGGAAAAGAGAGAGAGAGAGAGAGAAAGATGGTTCATTACTTATTATCAACTGCGTATACACATGGATATACAGAGTACAGTACTGTACTGTAGATAAACACATGATGAGGTGTGTATGTACCATATGAAACAATGTGTATACTCTCCAGTAAGTATGATATACAGGGTGGACCAACAATAAATGTGAACCAATTTGGGACTCAAAATAGCTCAGTAGGAAATTGAGCTGTGGCTCAATGCAAATAAATACCGAATGAAAGCATGTTCAATTCCCTGTTGGTGTTGTGCATCACCATCAGGGAATGACAAATGTGATACCTGGTCATCCGCCAGTTGGTCAAATTACGGTCGCACACCCGCCAGTCGTCAAGCACCGGTTGGTCCAACCGCCAGCCAGGGCAGTCCTTGGTCTCACCAATCCCCAGCCCACTGAATGGCGGTCCGGTCACCCGATTGTTGGGGCACTCAAACAATTGGGTGACAAGAATCATGCTGATTCTTTCCGCAATTTGGTTAGCAGAATGGTATCCTACCAGAGATTATTAATTTTCTTTTGAAAAATTGCATCTTATAAAATTTTTCACAAAAAGAAAAAACTCATCAAACCCAACCAAACCTAACCTATCCTAACCTAACCTAAACTATCATAATATAAACTGACCTAAACTAACCCAACATTGCTGAAATTTTGCAAAAAATATATCCTGTGGAAGGATACCATTCTGCTCATCAAATTCTGGAGAGAATCAGCATGAATCTTGTCACCCAATTGTCGGGGTGCCCTGACAATCGGGTGACCGGACCGCCATTCAGTGGGCTGGGGATTGGCAAGACCAAGGACTGCCGTGGCTGGTGGTTGGACCAACCGGCGCTTGACGACCTGCGGGTGCGCGACCGTGAATCGACCGACCGGCGGCTGACTGGACACGGACAAATGTTGCTGTTGTTGGTATTATTTTGTGTGTGCGTCAATTAAGAGCAGCAGCACATGATGTTTTAAAAATGTCATCTTTGGGCATTATCATTGCACGTGTCCAGTGATACGCACCTGCATCTGCACCAGTGTCAGGAGCAGCAGGGGCTTGGTCAAGGTAGGTTAAATAGCCATGGTATGACTGCGGTTCACTATAGAAGGATGAAGAGATGTAGTTGGAAGGAGCAGGACCACTGGCAAAACCACCACTTGCTGGCAGCTGATGTGTTCTAGCATCATCGCCAACTTCAATAAGGGCCAGCTCATCAGCAGCAGCAGCTTCTGAAGCATACCTGCCGGTGCTGCTGCTGATTCTGTGAGCCACTGGTGCGTTGTAATAGGTAGTGCCTTGTTGCACTTGACCACCATCATCTTGAATGTTGCTGCTGCCGCCGTAGGTGCTGTAAAACGCGTCATCCGCCTGCTCCTGGTGCTGCAACAACAATAAGTTCATCGTCACATGCTGACACTGGTGCATATATTGCATGTACTGTACTGTACATATAGTTCCTCAATCATGTGTATATAGTCATACATTGGAATTGGATGGAGACAAGGGAAAGGATAATGCAGCAATTAGGGGAAAATTATGAGTGTCACCTGATGCTGCTGCTGCTGGTGGTGATTATGATGGGTGTTGAAAGCGTCATAGACTGCATTTGACTGCTGCTGCGTGTCCCTGTCTGTCTGGCTGCCGGAAGACAGCCAATAGCCAGCAAGTGCAGCAGCAGCTGCTGCTGCTGCTGGTGTCCCACCTACCCTGGCTCCTCCAGCATATGCTGACAGCGGGCCATAATTGTAGGAAGTGCTGCTGCTGCTGGCCAACTTGTGGTGGTGCTCCTGTTGTTGTTGCAGCTGATAAGGAGACGCATACTGATAAGGGGGGTGGTGGGGATGAGGTTGTTGATCTGCTGATGACGCTGCTGCTGGTTGCTGCTGCTGCTTATTATTATTATTATTATTGCGGTTTGACTGATACTGCTGCTGCTGCTTCTGCCTTATTCTCAATAACCCGCTGTGCTGGTGCTGATTGTCCAGCATCAAGGCTGATGTCTGCTGCTGATGGCTGAGTCCAGCTGCTGCTGGTGGCATCGTCTTATTCTCCTCCTCCTGATGGCCCTCTCTGCTCGGGAAGCCCAGGTTAAGTCTCACGCGATGGGCCAGTCTGGCCCAGGGGATCTTGGGCATTTGGCGGGTGTGCTTTGCCGAGAACCGACGGACCTTCTCCAGGGCACCCTGCATGCGGTCAAGGAGAGCCACTGTTGACTGCTGCTGCTCATTCTGATGGGTGTCATCGGAAGGCAAAGAAGAAGAAGAAGAAGAAGAAGAAGAAAGGGATGAGTGCTGCTGATGGAAGTCATCATCATCGTTGCTGTTGCTGCTGCTGCTGCTGCTGGGTCCTGGTGGCAACAATGAGAGGACATCTTCTTCACTGCGCTGCTGAGAAACGGATGATGCAGAGGGAGAAGCCGACGACGATGATGATGGGCCAGGCTGCTGCTGCTTTTTGCCCATCAGTCCCCCTGCTGATGCTCCCCGCAGGTAAAAAGAGTCGAGGCCAACAAGGGCTGCCCACTGCGGCACCAGCATGCGCACGAGGTAGTCACGCAGTGCAGCCACCCGCTTGCCCTCTTCTGGCTTGTTGTTGTTGCGGTTGTTCCTGTTGGTGTTACTGCTGCTGCTGCTACCACCACTTGTCAACTCCACTAGTCGCATGAGGGCTTCTGGGGAGCTGATGTCTCCCAGCAGGGCTTCGAGCCGGGCCTCTTGTTCTTCTTCTCCTCCTCCTCCTCTTTCTCTCTCCTTCTCCTCCTTATGCTTTCTTGTCTTGTGTTCCGCAGGCAAGGCTGAGGTGCTGCGCTTTCCTGTTTTTTTAAACATTAAAATAAATAAGAAAGGGAGAGTGGAGCATGAATAACACAGCGTAGCAGTACAGCATGCATGAATAAGCTAAGGAAAGCATGCAGGTATTATAGGTACAGTACAGGTGTAAACTGGTGTCAGGGAATTAAGAGGCCCGACAAATACTGCACAGGACAAACACATGGTTTGAAACAGTGAAAAAAGATGTCCATTGCTTGCGACTGTTAGCTGTTGCCTGAGCATGCAGGGTACTGCATCATGCAGGATGCAGCAGAAGAAAAGAGTCCCAAAAAGAAAGCTAGGGGCATTTATTATTATGTAAATTAATAAGCAGCAGCAGCAGCAGCAACAAGAACAAGAAACAGAGGGAAAATCACAAAAGTGAATCAGGAAAACCAGCACGCAAAAACACAAAACGAGTAAAATCCCGTTTTCAGCAGACAAATACAGTGCGACATAAGTTCCAGGCACACTATTGTGATGCATGATTACAGTACAGTATTGGGAGAAAAATTATGCATGCATTTTTGAGAGCAAGTGACGAGGCATGCTGGAATCTTTTGTGACCTTATATTGGCTTTTTTCACTGCCCGGTTTTTGGTTTCCGACTGCTGGTTGACCTTGATTATACACAACTACATGATGACTTTGTGGCTTAAGTATATACTGTATACGTATGTGTTGGCCATACATATTTCACATATTTAAGGTTGTTTTTTTTTTCTGAGAAAAAATAACACATGCTTCTTTCTTTTCACACTTTTGGAGCAGCAGCCTCATCTGATGCATGCCGCATATATATCTATGTATATGTTCTACACTAATGTTCCGCATGCATGCTGTACGAGTATACCGGTGCAAGAGAGTGTGTGCGTGAGAGCAGCAGACGTACCATGCCATAACCGCTGCTGCTGGTGATGGTCCCTCGTCTTCGTCGTCTTGGTGAGCCTGGTGTTGGTGCTGATGGCGCCATCGTGTGCAGACAGGAAGGCGCCCACCTGCGTCATGCTGCTGCTCAGATCCAACAGGAGCACCACCAATGGCACAGCCGTCATCATTGTCACACTGCCAAACATGCTCGGCATGCACAGACTCTCAATTATATCGCGGTGACTCATTCACACAACTGCAGCTGCTATGATGATGATGACGACTCAATCACCGAGTCAATAACTTATTGAGCCTCGTCATCACTGCAACACAATCAACCATCAGTACAGTACAGTATATATATATATATATATATATATATACCTATGCAGGCATATATGATTTATTCTCATCACAAATGACCGACCTCACGCACGAAACAGTAAATTGAATACTCTATCTGTCTCTTTCAATAGGCCAGCATGGTTGCCAATAAACCCACCAAAAGTGCTGTACATCAACAGTATCTATACTGCAGCACTATTGGGACGACCACTGTATACTGCACACAGCACACAGCAAAATAATGGCGCAAAAAATGCCCCATTTCAATGGTTTCAACATTTTAGCCCAATGCTGCATGCATTTAAGATTATTTTCCCCAATTATAATTTTCCAATGTTTTCATCTTCGCGCGATTGATTAATTTTACGAGGAAAGCACAAATGCTTTTGAGAAGAAAATGATCTACAGTATTTATAAATATTTTCTGGTTTTCAGCTCGTTAACGTTGTGACGTCATTGACGGACATTTCGAAACAAGTTCCACCGGCTTTGGTGTCGCTCCTGCTGCGACTATAGTCCCAGAAAAGCGATGGGGATCGTTCCTTCCGCTCATTAAATCACAGTTCCAGATTTTTAACTGCATCATGGATGCAACGTTGTTTGTTGCGTCTTATTTGGCTGCTCATTTATTCAGCTGCCAAGGACACTTTGGTGCAGTGAATGTTTCGAATCGGTACTGGTAGCCCAGTATAAACAGGCTGCTGCTGCTGCTGCTGCTGCTGCCGCCTCAGATATGAGATTTCAGGCCGCAATGCGACAAATGAGTTGTGGAAATAAAGAACCACCTTATTGTGCAGCCTTTAGGAGGCCGGATCCTCCTGAAGGGAGCATTTCATGCCACGTTGTTTGCTTCGGTACCCTGGTGACATGGGCACACCCGAGCGAGGATGCTGCGCTCGGGTCACGCGCCGCGTCACTTGCAACCCCACATGAGACGCTGTTCTCATTCATCGAGCAGCATATGCAGCAGCAGCAGCAGACGAAGAAGACGTGCGCGTGAGAAACGCGCATCCATGCACCACCAACCGCATGACTTACAGCAGAAGTCACTTCGACAAGTTCACAGTCCACGCAGAAATCAAACACTGTAATATAGATCGCCGAAAGACCTGCAAGACAAGAAGGAAAGAAAAAGAGCACGCAAATACAATTGATATCAATATTCAGCAAACATGTAATGCAGCAATGAAGATAAAACCCGTATCCTCAAATGAAAAGCGGACAACGTGTCATACTGAAAAATAAACAATGCAGACGAGACAGAGACAAATGTATTTCATCACGGAAACTCCTGCAGAATGTGAATAAACACAGCATGAGTACATGAGCATCAGAAAAGGGAGGAGAATATAGATGTCGAATGAAGAGAAGCAATTAAAACAAGCACAATGATTGCAATCCCCTCATCCATCCAGGAGAAGAAAAAAAAATTAAAAAGAAAAGAACAACACAGCATCAGACAAGGAGGAGCAGATGATATACGTAACCTCAGAGAAGGACGCCTTTACGAAGAACAGCACGGGATGAAAGGGGAAAGTGAGAGAGCAATAAGAGAAGAGAAATTTTACACGCTCATCCGCATTAGGTATAACGTATCGTAAAATAAAAAGTACAAATGGAAATACCGTTCATCATCAGCAGCATACGTACAGAAAACAAACAAACAAACAAACAAACAAACAAAAGAAAGCAAGAAACCAACAAACAACCTCAATCTCATGATGGTATCGGTCCGGGGCTGTGATCGTGCATGCAAGAGATGCACCTTTCAATTACAGTAATCCTCCCTCTCATCTGATCCTTCATCGTCAATATATTAAAACCGCAGTACAAAGGAAAATAACAAAACGCTCTCGTATCTGCAGTGAAAATAATCCCTTCCATCAGCATCCCTCATACAGTACTGTTTGACCTGCTTTTGATGCATCAATCACAAAGTCGGTGTGCGTCATCCTCCTGCCCAAAAGTACAACTCGTATACAACTCATCTGACTCAAACTCACTGCTGCTGCATGGCAGTGAATGACCCTTCCGTCAGACGAACTTGATTGTCGCAACAACCAATAATAAACCAAAACACGCACGAAAATAAAAATAAAACCCCCATCATCAGCAGCAGTATTAGTAGTATATCACCGTATACAGTACTGCACACGTACAGCATGGACATCATCAGCACTCATGTGCAAAAAGAAAAAAGGCGTACATATACTGTATATAGTACGACGAGGTGCTGCACGCATATACTGCATATACAAAAAAAAAAAAAGTAGGAAAACACTGCAAATCATTGAGTCGTTGCTGGTGCAAGATTTGGGAAGCACATCCTCATCATCAACACAAGGTAACTACAATTGCGTATTGCTGCTGTATAGG